TCTTTCTCTCTCTTTCTCTCTCTCTCTCTCTTTCTACCTTTCATTTCTTCCTTCATCTCTCATTATTTATATATATATATATATATATATTAATAATCTATTTATAATAAAAATATTCATAATTATCAATAATAATAATAATGAACATAATTATAATTATTAGTTATAATTATTTTGTCAAATAAAAACAATTAATACGATCATTTTAAAACTATTTTTCAAAAAAAAATCACAAACTAAACAGTGCCTCCACACGGTTTAGATGAAACATTTGCTCGACGCATTTTCAATTTTTAACGTGGGTGAAGTTAGTGTATACCCACCCCCAGCGATAAAAATATTAATAATAAGAATAAAAATAGCAGTAGCAGTTGTAGCAGTAGTAGTTGTAGTAGCAGTTGCAGTAGCATTTGTAGTAGTAGTAGTAGTAGTAGTAGTAGTAGTAGTAACAGTTGCAGTAGTAGTAGTTGTAGTAGCAGTTGTAATAGTAGTAGTAGCAGTTGTTGTTGTAGTAGTAGTAGCAGTTGTAGTAGTAGTTGTAGTTGTAGTAATAGTTGTAGAAGTAACAGTTGTAGTAGTAGCAGTTGTAGTAGCAGTTGTAGTTGTTGTAATCGCTCGCTGATCAACAAATAATTCTCTTTCCCAGTCTATCCAGAATTTCTTCCACCATCATCAGCATGCCCCGACATTCCATTCATAAGTGTTCATCAGTCGATTCCTCTGCTTCACCCCACAATCTGCACTGGTTTTCATTTATTAGGCCGTTGCCGTCTTTGTAGTCCCAAAGATTCGTGTGGTGACCAGTTCTGGAAGGGATTTACGGTAAATTCATCGTAGGGGAATTCATCGTGGGGGAATTCATCGTGGGGGAATTCATCGTGGGGGAATTCATCGTGAGGGAATTCATCGTGGGGGAATTCATCGTGAGGGAATTCATCGTGGGGGAATTCATCGTGGGGGAATTCATCGTGGGAAAATTTATCCTGGGAAAATTCATCTTGGGGTAAAATTTAAAGTGGATAATTCATTGTAGTATTGTTTTAAGTCAAAAATGTAAGATAGTCAAGTTTACGATGTTGCAAATTTCTTAGTGATGGTTTGTGTCAAAATGTCAATTAATTCGATTTCCAGTGACCAGCTGCGGTAGGTTCAATTCTTATCGTGCAATACTAATTGCTACCTATCGTTTAATCGTTAAAATGCCGGGATCTATTTACCATTCGGCCTAATTCGTGAATTAATTGCCGAAATTGAATCATTATTCGGCTTAATTAATTAATTTATCGATTAAATGGTACAGTTGTTGGTGTTATGTTCGATTCCTGACCTTCGTCAATACTGCTGTCCAATCAACAGTCTACTAATGAATATTCGAAAATAATTCACATTTTGACTCGTTTCAGTTAATTTCAAACTAGCCTCACGATGAATTTCCCCAT